CCACTGCTGTATTTTCCAAATTTGCTGGCATATACAGTGCAACCCTTTCCCGCATCATCTTTTAGGATTTGAAATAGCTCACCTGGAATTATATGGCATCACTGACTCAATGGACATGAGTTTGAGTAAGCTCCGGGAGTTGGTGATGGACAGGGAAGCCTGGCGTGCTACAGTGCATGGGGTTACAAAGAGTCAGACACTATTGAGCCACTTAAGTGAACTTAACTGAGCTTTGTTTGTACTGATTCTTCCTAAGGCCCACTTGACTTTGAAGTCCAGGATGTCTGGCTCTAGGTGAGTGATCACACCATCATGGTTATCTGGGTCATGAAGATCTTTTCTGTATAGTTCTTCTGTGTATTCTTCCCACCTTAGTGTCGTCTTCTTCTTTTAGGTCCATACAGTTTCTGTCCTTTATTGTGCCTGTCTTTGCATGAAACAATCCCTTGGAATCTTTTATTTTCTTAAAGAGATCTCTAGTCTTTCCCATTCTATTGTTTTCCTCTATTTCTTTGCATTCATCACTGAGGAAGGCTTTCATATCTCTCCTTGTTATTCTTTGGAACTCTGCATTCAGATGGGTATATGTTTCCTTTTCTCCTTTGCTTTGCTCCCTACATGGCATAGCTCATGGTTTCATTGAGGTAGACAAGGCTGTGATCGGTGTAATCAGTTTGGTTAGTTTTCTCTGGTCGTGGTTTTCATTCTGTCTCCCTTCTGATGGATGAGGATAAGACGTTTGTGTCCTTCCTTGGGAAGGACAGACTGTGGGTAAAAACGGAGTCTTGCCCTGGTGGGTGGGGCTGTGTTCAGTAAATCTTTAATCCAATTTTCTGCTGATGGGTGGGGCTGTGTTCCCTCCCTGTAGTTTGGCCTGAGGCCAAGCTATGGTAGCAGTAATGGTGGTAATGGGTCCTCCTTCAAAAGAACTTATACCAGCACACTGGGCTCCCAGGACCTTTGTAATCAGTGCCCCTGACCCCGCAGCAGGCCACTTGTGGACGCATACCTCCACCAGAGACTCCCAAACACTCATAGGCAAGTCTGGCTCAGTCTCTTATGGGGTCACTGCTCCTTTCTCCCAGAGCAGGCAATGGCACCCCACTCCAGTACTCTTGCCTGGAAAATCCCATGGATGGAGGAGCCTGGTAGTCTGCAGTCCATGGGGTCGCTAAGAGTCGGACACGACTGAGCGACTTCACTTTCACATTTCACTTTCATGCATTGGAGAAGGAAATGGCAACCCATTCCAGTGTTCTTGCCTGGAGAATCCCAGGGACGGGGGAGCCTGGTGGGCTGCCATCTATGGGGTCGCACAGAGTCGGACACAACTGATGCGACTTAGCAGCAGCGGCTCCTTTCTCCTGGGTCCTGGTCTGCACAAGGTTTTGTTGTGCTCTCCAAGAGTCTGTTTTCCTAGGGTTCTCAGCCCTTTTGCTGGATCCCCAAGTCAGAAAATCTGTTGTGGGCCCTAGAACTTTTGCAACATCACGAGAGCTTCTGTGGTATAATTGTTCTCCAATTTGTGGGTGGTGTATTGGCGGCTCTGTAGTGGCGCTAATGGCGACCTCCTCCAAGAGGACATGTGGCACATGCCGCACCTCCCAGGTCTGCTGCAGCCAGAGCCCCTGTCCCTGAGTCAGGTCACTGCTGACCCGTGCCTCTGCGGAGACACTCAGACACAAAGGCAGGTCTGACTCAATCCCATGTGGGGGTCACTGCTTTCCCTCAGTCCTGGTGTGCACAAGGTTTTGTTTGTGTCCTCCAAGCATCTCTGGCAGTTCTGAGGTTTGATTCTAAAAGCGATTTCACCCCTCCTACCATCTTGTGGGACTTCTCCTTTGCTCTTAGATGCAGGGTATCTTTTTTTTTTTGGTGTGATTCAGCATTTTCCTGTCAATGGTTGTTCAGCAGCTAGTTGCAATCTTGGTGTTCTTGCAGGAGATGAGTATACATCCTTCTACTCCGCCATCTTGTGCACAGATCCTAAATCTAAAACTTTAGAAAAAAATGAAAGGAATAAATCTTTATGACTTTGGGTTAGGCATTAGTTTCTTAAATACAACACCAAAAGTACAACCAACAAAAGAAAAAAAAACAAACTGGACTTCATCAAAATTAAAAATGTTTTTGCATCAAAACACACTGGTGAGAAAGTGAAAAGACAAAACCACAGAATGTGAGAATATATCATATATACGATAAGGGTCTAATACCCAGAATAGATAAAGAATTGTCATAACTCAACAATGTAAAGAACCCAGTTAAAAAGTGGGCAAAGGATATATAGACATATTTCCAAAGAATATATACAAGTGTCTAAAACTAACACATGAAAAGAAACTCAACATCATTAGTCATCAGCGAAATGCAAATTGAAACTACAATGAGATACTACATCACACCTACTAGGATAGCTATTTTTTCAATAAAGAAAGAAAAAAATGTTAGGATGTGGAAACATTGGAACCCTCAAACGTTGGTAAGAATATAAGATGGTGCAGCCACTATGGAAAACATTTTTGTAGTTCCTGTAAAACTCTTATAACCCAGCAGTTCCTTTCCTAAGTGTATATCCCAGAGAATTGGATATACATGTTCACATTAAAACTCATGCATGAATATTCATAGCTGCTTTGTCATAACAGCTAAAAAGTAGAAACAATCCAGATGTCTACCAACTGATGAATGGATAAACAAATGTGACATATATCCAATCAGTGGAATATTATTCAGTCATAAAATGAAATACATACAGCAACATGGATGAACCTTGAAAACACCACGCTAAGTGAAATAAACCAGATCCAAAAATTGTGTTATATATTTCTATTTAAATTAACTATCTAAACTAGACTAATCCATAGGACAGAAAGTAGATTAAAGATTGCCAGGACTAGGAGAAGGGGGAATGGGTAGTGACTGCTTAATGAGTGTACTGTTTCTTTTGAGAGTATTAAAAATGTTCTGGAAGTAAATAGTGGTGATGGTTGAACAACTCTTAATATACTAAAAGTCACTCAACTGCACTTTAAAATACTTAAAATAATCAATTTTGCTTTATGTGATTTTTATTTCAATTGAAAGTACTTAATATATGCATATATTAATATATGTATATTTATTATTTATATATATGAAAACATAACCTTTAGATGAATGTTACTAGTTAGAGTGTACTTTCTTTTGAACATTTTCCTCTTTAAGAAATGAGCATCTCTTTTATCAGTACTGAAATTGGAAATCATTGTAATTTTCATCTTATACAAGTTTTTGAAATGGTGAAATGTCCACCATAGGAGTAGATGCATATTTAATAAGCTTTATAAGGAAATGGTCACCTATTTTTATACTCTCATCTTGTTTACATGTCTTAGCCGTATTAATAAAAGGTCTCTAATATTTTAGGTCTAGTTCCTTAATACTATACACCTTAATATTAGAACATTTCTGTTTCATGTTGATATATTTTAACTAATGAGAGACAGTGTGGTATACATTTTAAAAATATACACTGTCTCTTTTGAAAAAAGTTTTTAATGTTTTTGTTGTTGAGTTATGACCTTCATCATAACTGTTATTAAATGTTCCTGAGACTGAAAAAAATACAAATATTTATACTAAATGTTGCCTAATATTGACAATACAAAATGTGTGGCTCTGAGTAAAAGTTAGGACAGTGATTTGACTGAATTCTCATGATCAAACATTTATTGAATGCTTGACATGTGACAGTTACCGTTCTTTGCATTTACATTTTTACCTCATTTATTACTGACAACAAACCAATGAAGTAGATACTACTATCTGGGTTTTTCCAGTATTGAGTGGAGACGTACAGAGGTGCTACAGTGGTCAGGGTGACCACAGATACAGCTCTACTGCAAAGTCAGGGTTTGAATCTGAACAATCTGGTTGCTGAATTCAAATCTAGGACCTCTATGCTATGTTGAACTATACACATATATTTGTTTCCATTGGAAAAAATGTACTTTGTGTTTTGTAAGAAATGAATGCTTTGCTAGGTATGATATATTCAGAGTTTTAATGATACAACTAGTGTCTAATACTAGCATATATTATAGAGTGAATCCACTGTGAGATCTTTTAGGAGATTACTAAAATATATGATGGTTACTATAATTTTTAGTTGACACAATTTTAAGCATAAGTAAATTTAATCCTGTAAAGTATAAATTGCAGCTTACACTAATTTTTGAAGACACACAAGATTATGTTTACTAATCCAAATGCTCCAGTTTATGATTATAGTTGATAAAAAGCAAAATTATTGCTTGTGCTTTCCTTCTCCAAAAAATGTGTGTACTCTTCACAAAACAATGTTTTCTATATGTTTTCTTGTAGCCGCTCAGTAGCTCATTTGGTAGATCAGCTTCTAAGTAAGAAAAATTGGAATTCTTTGTCTCGTCATTTAATCAGAGATTTTCAATTCTATTTTCGTTGTTAAAGTTAGAGTCATAGGCTTGCAGGTGCAAAACTAATGTTTGATATGGGCAAAATAAATGTCTTCATTCTTAGTTTTTACTTCACCCATTATTTTGGTGAATGAGTTTTTTTAATTCTAGAATTACAAACCAGTAAACAGATTATGTGCATGCTTTATTTTTACCTTGTGGCAAACATAACAATAATTACATATAACACAAAAGGGTTAATTCTAGACTTGACCTTAAGAGTATAAAATTTTTTTTGATAATCATAGTGTCTAGCAACAGCATTTGATTTTTGCTAGTATAAAAATTTGATTTTTTTTTCAAATTCTAGCTCATTAGTAAAAAGTTAAATTTCACATTTAATATTGAGTAAATCTTTCTCTACTGTAGAATATCAATATTGTCATGATATTATGCTGGAGTCAATTTTAAAGTGTCAATTTTTAATACATTGGAAAGTTTTAATATTATGATTTAAGAAAATTGTCACTCTTTTTGTTTTTTTTTACCACAGAGGCTTAATAATGTGTCATTCTGTTTTCTTAGAAACTTCCTGCACCATTAATTGATGATAGCTATAAAAAAGAATGTGATGAAGATGTATGCAGTCATAAAACAGAATCTGACATTAAGATGAAAATTGCTTGGCGTTACCAGTTATTACCCAAGATGGAGGTAAGTCAATAAACTCTTTCCAAAATTGGCAAATATATTTGTTTTCATTTTATAGAATCTCTTGTGATATACTTGTTACTCTTTAAATGCAATACAATGTTTATTTGTTTATTTAAATAATTACTTATTTGTAGAGTATCTTATCTAGATGACTTTTTTCCCCCAATTTTATTGTGAAATAATTGACATATGTCACTTTATAACTTTAATGTGTACAGCATGGTGGTTTGATTTATATAAGTTGTGAAATGATTGCTACAATAGGTTCAGTTAATATCCATCATCCCATATGGATAAAATGAAAAGAAAAGAAAAAGGAAAAAATATTTCTCCTTGTAATGAGAATGCTAGGATTTACCCTCTTAGCTTTCCTATATATTATTGAACAGTCTTAGCTACAGTTATCATTATGTACATTACATCCATAGTAGTTATTGTTCAGTCACCCAGTCATGTCTGACTCTGCGACCACATGGACTACAGTACACCAGGTCTCCCTGTCACTCACTATCTCCCGGAATTTGCCCAAGTTCATATTCATTGCATCAGTGATGCCATCCAGCCATCTCATCCTCTGATGTCCTCTTCTCCTTCTGCCCTCAATCTTTCCCAGCCTCAGCGACTTTTCCAATGAGTTGTCTTTTGTCATCAGATGACCAAAATACTGGAGCTTCAGCTCCAGCATCAGTCCTTCCAGTGAATATTCAAGGTTGATCTCCCTTAAGATTGACTGATCTGATCTCCTTGCTGTCTTAAGGGACTTTCAGGGGTCTTCTCCAGCACTGCAGTTTGAAGGCATCAACTCTTTGATGTTCTGCCTTCTTTATGATCCATCTCTCACAACCCCATGTGACCACTGGGAAGACCTTCGCCTTAACTGTATGGACCTTTGTCAGCAGAGAAATGTCTCTGCTTTTCCATACATTGTCTAAGTTTGTCATCACTTTCCTGCCAAGAAAGTAATCATCTTCTGATTTCATGGCTGCAGTCACCATCCGCAGTGATTTTGGAGACCTAGAAGAGGATATCTGTCACTTATTTCCATATTTACCCCTTCTGTTTGTCATGCAATAATAGAGCCAGATGCCATGATCTGAGTTCTTCATTTTTTTAATATTTAGTCTTAAGCCAGCTTTTTCACTCTCCTTTACCCTCATCAAGAGGCTCTTTAGTTTCTTTTCGCTTTCTACCATTAGAGTGGTGTCATCCACATATCTGAGATTCTTGATACTTCTCCCACCTATCTTGATTCTGGCTTTTAACTCATCAATCCTGGCATTTCTCATGATATGCTCAGCATATAGGTTAAACAAACAGGGTGACAGCAGACAGCCCTGTCGTATTCCTTTCTCGATCTTGAACCAGTCAGTTTGTCCATACATGTTTCTAACTGTTCCTTCTTGACCCGCATACATGTTTCTCAGGAGACAGGTAAGATGGTCTGGTATTCCCATCGTTCTAAGAACTTTCCACAGTTTGTCATGATCCACACAGTCAATGACTTTTAGCACAGTCGATGAAACAGAGATAGACGTTTTTCTGAAATTCCTTGCTTTCTGTATAATCCAGAAAATGTTGGCAGTTTGATCTCTAGTTCCTTTTTCTTTTCTGTAACCAACTTGGACATCTGGAAGTTCTTGGTTCACATAATGCTGAAGCCTAGCATGCAAGATTTTAAGCATGACCTTACTAGAATGGGATATGTGTGCAATTGTCCAATGGCTATCACATTCTTTGGTACTACCATTCTCGGGAGTTGGGATGAAGATTGACCTTTTCAGTCCTGTGGCCACTGCTGGGTCTTCCAGGTTTGTTGACATAATGAATGCAAAACCTTGACGGTATCCTCCTTTAGGGATTTGAATAGTTCATTGCATCCACTAGATTTATTAGCAACAGTGCTTCTTAAGGCCCACTTGACTTTGCACTCCAAAATGTCTGGCTCTGGGTGACTAAGCATACCATCGTAGTAATCCAGTTCATTAAGATCTCTTTTATACAGTTCTTCTGTGTATTCTTTCCATCTCTTCTTGATCTCTTCAGCATCTACTAGGTGTAATATGCTTGAATAATCTGAAATTATTCCTCCCTGACCTGCCCTGGTCTATGGAAAAATTGTCTTCCACAAAACTGGTCATTGATGCCAAAAAGGTTGGAGACCACTGCTGTAAGTGACTTTTGGTAGTATTAACATTTTAACACTATTAATTCCACAATCCATGAACATGGAATACCTTTCCATTTATTTGTATCTTCTTCAGTATCTTTCATCAATGTCTTATAGTTTTCATAATAGAGATCTTTCACCTCCTTGGTTAAATTTACTTCTAACTATTTTATTGTTTTTGATGCTATTGTAAATGGGATGATATTTCCTAAAAATTACTGAGCCCATGAAAGCCACAGCTACTGAAGCACATGCTCTACAACAGGAGAAGCTTCAGCCTTGAGCAGATTGCAGCACAACTAGAGAAAGCCCTCATGCCAAACAAAGACCCAGCACAACCAAATAAATAAATAAGAAAGAAAGAAATGGGCTCACACATTTAGAAAACAAACTTAAATAAATAAATGCATGGCAGACTGTCAGTCACATTACCTTCCTGCCAACCTCAGACCAGCCTTAGAATTCTCTGTGGAGTGTCTGGGTGGTTCCTACCAGTTAATGAGAATGTGAATTATGAGGTGAAATCCATTATAAGCCCACATTATGAAAATATAAACTTCTCAAGATTGTATTCAAGAGTTATACCACCTGATCCAAGCCTACCTTTGTGGTCTGTGTCCTTTGTGTGCATAAAACACTATATTCACCCCCGCTATGAGAACTGTTCTATGTGAATTGCTTGTATTTCTGCTGATGATGCTTTTCACTTTCTGACTCACCAACTCATCCTTCTCCAAGTATAAATAATATGTAATTATCTAGTTTCTTATATTTGTTTCCATAATACCACATGTATTTTAAAGTACTTTTATACATTGTTTTTAATTAGTTGGTAGTATAATTCTTTTCTCCACCAGAAAGAATTATGTATAGGGCAGAGAGCTTGTTTTATTTTCTCTTGTATCTCTAGCACCTTTATTAATGCTGTTTATTCATTCAGTCAGAAAATACTGATTAAGCATCAACTGTATTCCAAGTATAAAATGTGTTGTAATAGGCATATATTAAGCAGTGGTTAATTGTTCTAATTCAGATGGGCATGGTGTTTGAATAGTATCATTTTTAAGTGTGATTTAAGTGACTGAACAAACTACAAATTGGAGAGGGAATACTTGCAGCTTATATAATAGAATAATAGTCTACCATCTCAACTTTTAAGAACAGGAAAAATTGTAAAAAAGGAAATTTAGGTAGCTCTTAAACATAAGAACAGATGCCAAATTTCAGTTATAACAAAAGAAATGCAAATTAAAGCTAAATTAAAATTAATTTAATGGAAATTAAAACCTGCCATTTTTCTTTTACTAGATTGTCAATAATCTAAAATGTTTGGTAAGATATTAAATTAGGAAAGACAGGAAGAAACTAGTACTCATGCTTTGCTGGTAGAAATGTAAATGGCTTCCGTGAAGGGTAATTTGTCAGTATCCTTCAAAATTACAAAATCTTGTACCCTTTGATTCTTTATTGGAAATTTACATCATTAATATATTTACTCAGATGTAAAATTCAATATGCATGACCTGTGTATGAGGCATTTTTTTAATAGCAAAAAATTAGAAATAGTCTAAATGTCCCTCAGTAAGCAACTAGTTAAATAAACTATGGTAAATGTGTACAGTAGAAAACCATACATTTGTATTAAAAAGTAAAAGGAAGCTCAGCAGTCAGAAATTGTTGCAGAGATAGCCTAGAATGTGAATGAGAACTGTGTATGAGAGGCCAGAATAAATGTAGTTGTTCTGCTTGGAAAATGTGAATTAATTTATAAGGATTAAAACAAACTTGGATTTACACTTGAGAACCCTAATGGCAAAAACTTCATGCCTGTAATCTGGCAGATTCATTTAAGTACTGGGCTTAAGGATGACTTTTGTATAAAGTAACCATATTTCTGATTTTTCTGCTGGTGCATTCTGAAAGACATTAAAAATATAAACTCTAAGTTGAATTTAGTTTTTGTATAAAGATAGTATACCAATTCAGTTTTACTTTATATAAAATACTTGTATCTTCCATTTCCTTTTTTTTTTTTAACTTAATCTCATCTTGGTTTTGGTCTTTTCATGGTCACTGACATTCTTGAAGTGAAGTTGTCAGTGAAAATACGAGTAATCGAAACTTTAAGACTTTTTCTTACTGCTTGTTAGGAAATCTGTTTCAATTTGGGGAGAAAATTCTTTATTTCTTTATAATTTTAGTTGTTTCTTTCTGTATTGTAATTGCAGACACTGTTCCTACCCCCTTTTATATATGGGTAATACTGCTTATTCTGTTTTTTCCTTTTAGAGTATGGTGTGCTTGCAGTTGTTACTATGGGAGTAAACTTCTGCGACGTTACACATTTACATGTAAACCTCAGTTTTCAAGGTTTAGAGCTTGAGTGTTTTAGAGGTTATGATTTTACAGTGGTTTTCTCCAGATGATTTACTTTCCCATTTTCTTCAAGACTCCACTAAAATATCACTTTATTGGAAATGTCTTCCTTTGTCACTCTATATAAAATAAAACCACTCTCTCATATCCTTTCACCACCCTATTTTTCTTCAGAGAACCTATCATCACTTAGCATATAATGTATCATCCATCTCCTCTGACTAGAGTGTGAGTCAGTGGGAGAAAGACTTTGACTATTTTGTTTTCCTGGTCTATAATAGGTGCTCAATAGTTGTTTGTTGAATACACAAGTGAATGAATTACTTGGTGTGTGAATTAAATGAGTTAAGTTGCATTAATGAGTACACACCAAGTAGCAGCTTATTTTGAATTTACACTCGGTGGACAAGCTTTCGTTTACTAGTATTTAAAGCAAGTTCTGTCAAGTTTAGAAAATAGAGTCATCTTCTGACTTCTTTGCTTTTCTTTGAAATGTCACTGGCCTGTATATTTACCTGTCACAGAAATTTTGTACATGATGATTTGCCAAGACTGATAAACTTTGATGATCACCTGTCATTATCTGCTTTATAAATCCAGACCTTATCTTGCCATTATCAGTTTAAAAACAACAGTAAAACCCCAATTTTCTGTATTTTACTTGAGATATAATATAGTTAATACTATTATGAGTAAAGTTTAATCAAGTAGTCCAAAACATAATGTAACAGAAAGGCCTTTTAACATAAATTATCTCTCAATCCTAAGAATGTAGTCCTATTCCTATTTAGAGAATGTAAAAAAGGATAAGAATATGTACACTTAAAAAAATAACACTAGCTCAGTAAAGCATAAAGTAGTGCTTCTTCCCACTGGAGGAGTGTATAGTTTGTAGAGGCCAACTTTCCTTCATCCTGTGATTTTGATTTTCTTTCCTGGGTGGACATGTGTCCTTCTTTCTGTTGAATCATTAAACCAAACTTGTTCCCTGTTCATGCCAAGGATTGATAAAAGTGAAAAAGTGTTAGTTGCTTAGTTGTGTCCACCTTTGCAAATCCGTAGACTGTAGCCTGCCAGGCTCCTCTCTCCCTGGAGTTCTTTAGGAAAGAATAAATACTGGAGTGGGTTGTCATTCCCTTCTCCAGGGAATCTTTCTGACCCAGGGATCAAACCCGGGTCTCCTGGATTATGGGCATCCTCTGTACTGCCTAAGCCACCAAGGAGGCCCCATGCCCTTCCAAGCATGATGGCCTACAGCCTGTTCTGAGACTTAATTTGTTTAATACTGTAGAGCTCTACTACCAAGGCTTATAATGGCTCCAGCAATTTATAACAGCATTTTAGATCTCTATTATATTAAATCCTCATTACACTTTGGCTTTCCATCTTAGTAGTTCAGCTACAACAGTCCAGTGATAGATATATACATGTTTTAGATGACAACAAATACCATTTTTCCAATAGAGCAGTGTAATAGCAAAATATAGTGATGGATCTTATGATTCTCTAGTGAATCATAACACAATAATAACAATTAATAATATTTATGTAGTGCTTGATAATTTACAAGGTATTCATTTCCAGTATTTCATTAGATTCTTATACTAGTCTGGTGAAATTGTTATTATTCACTCTGGTTTCTAATGATTGAACTGATGCTGAAAATGGTTTATAACCATTTGGATTCTTGCTTTCTGTTATGCCATACTGAGAAACAAGAAATGATAACACTAAGAAAATGTCTTGTTTGGACTTTTTTTTTTTCTGGTGCAGCTCTTGTCTGAATTTTTGCTTTCTTTCTGACATATTCATGGTGAGGGAAGGTATTGTTTTGTTGCTCCTCTTGGAAACCTCTAGCATAGAAATTTTTATTGAACCATTCCATTTTACTCTCTTCCACAGCTGACAAAGTTAAAGGGTAGTTTATGAATGTGAATTAAGTGCTCATTATGTAAAACTATATCAAACTGAGTAAATAGTTATTGATTGGAATAGTTATTGATGATAGTTCAATTTTTTCAGTGCATTTGTTGTTTCAGGAAGTTGATAGTTTTTCATGGATTACCATTATTATTATTAGATTTAAAGCATTCAGTGACCTTTTTAAAAGGAAATATTTTAAGTCTTTATTTTACAATTCTGGACCTCAGAAGATTTCACAACATTTCAATCATCTGATGATACGTTAACACTCTGTGTCTTGGGTAGAAAAAAAATTACAAAATTGTTTTTCCTGTAAGAGTGTATTTATTTTTCATTTTTATTGCAGCATTAAAGTTTTGCATTGTTGATTAAATGTTTAATGTCTACCCTATAAATATTTTAGTTGCCATAACTATCTAATCTTAATTTCTAAAAAAAAGTAATAATTTATTTGTAATTTTAAAATTTTCCAAATAAATTTTTACATTTTGATGAATTATTTGTGTTCTGTGTGTAGACTGTCACAGCATGAAATCAGTTTTCTCCTTGATTCATTCCAAATCTCAGATTTCGATGACATTAATATTATAATTAGAAACATTGATAGAGACGGTAACTTAAAAAGCATACTTTGCTTCTTGGCAATTTAGCATATTTCTCAGAGTGCATAGGACTTCAAGAACCTTCAGTCCACTAATAAATTTATTAACTTAAAAGAGGCGAAAAGTCTCTTTCTTTCTCTCTCCCCATGGCCAGTCCGCTAAAATAGATTATTCATGCTTATTTGATTCAGGTAGGCTTTTGCAAGCTTCCCTACTAGGCCTGGGAATGTGGTACATTGAGGCCTTTTCAGAGGCTTCTGACATAGACCAGGCTTTTATTGCATGGTGTTTTATTATTACCAAATCCTAGTCTCCACCCAGTTTGTAGGCACTCCGCTTATTCTTTTGAATCAGGAAAGGTTATCACCTACCTTAATCCATGCAGCAGTGTGGATTAAGGACACCAGTGTGCCCCAGGATTCTCAAAGAGGATCCTGGAAACTTCTTGTTTCTTCTTTTTTGCTGTCTTTACTAAATTCTATTGGGCCTTAGGGGGATTTGCATCTGAAATGGGCAACCTGGTGTTTTTCTCAATGAAGACATCAGATCAAAGTTCAGTTAGTCAAGGCCTTTCTAAAACATTAAGGGGGCTTGGACTTACACAATAAAAAGATGAGCTCTAGCAGAGATTGCAGTAAAAACATTTTGAACCATAATCCGGATAAAGAATAGATTATAGGCCAAAGAACAGACCTTGTTTAAATTGCTTTAGACTAATAACTTTACATTTAAAACCCTTACACCCTCTTTTTAAGAAACAAATTTTAATGTGATATAATGTACTTGTTAGCAATTTCGTGGCGAATGGATAAATCATGTTTTTGAAACTATATATTTTGTATTGAAAAGATTAGCTTAAGCCAATTGATAGGTCTCTTTTATTAATGAAAACAAATAGTACCTTATGGAGGAATGAAGAGCTATTCTATATATCAAATGAATGGCAAACCTCCAGACTCTGAATCTGAGAATAGTGTTTCTACTAGACTTTAATTTTTTTTAATTCGGTATTACTATATAATTTGATGTTTGTAGGGATTTAATTTAACATGAATCCCTGAAGTCTTAAAATGCAAACACCTAGTGGCAAGTGAATGTCTATTTCTTCTCTGAATTACAAAATTGTCACTTACTTAGTAAAATAAATTAAGAACCTACTCCGTACAGTTCCTCGGTTTCCATAAATATTAACCTAGTTTTGTTGAGTGTTCTGAAATTTTTGTGTTTTGTAGTATTTAAGACCATGAAAATTAAGTAAATAAGGATCAGAGATTTTATTAGAAACTATTGCCATACAGAGTCTGTTAGTAGTTCAACTTTGTTTGAATAGAGATATATTTCGAATGTACTGACTGAAAGAAATCAGCCCAGAGCCCATTCAAATCAGTATAATATTAATGTTATATTACTAGGGTTCAGCTGTCCTGTGTAATTAAATTCAGCATCAGTAGTTATTAAAGTTTCCTCTAAGAAAGAATTGTCTGGAGAAATTGTTAGTGGAGGGCACAAAAGAGTAATTATCAATGAACTAATAATGAATATGCCAAATTTCTGATTTAACTAAGAGAGCTTGTATACATTTTCCCACTTTATCATGTGCCGTCTTCCTATCTGGAATACCTCAATATATTTTATACAGTAAGCTTAACTTTATTTGTAAGAAGTTTTGAATACTACATGTACACATGGTCTTATGAGAATTTAGTTTTAATATGATGCTTAGTTTAATGTATATAAATAACGAGTTTCTTTTGGACCTCTCTTCAGTGAATTAATTTGGCTTAAGTTTTCTAAACTGTAAATTCATTTTATTATTAAAACTTGAAGTTTTAAACATTAATTGAGTTATGTATATAAAATTTTTGAACTGAGGAAGGTATGGTAAAAAAAAAAAAAGTAAAGTGAAAGTTGCTCAGTCATTGCCGACTCTTTGCGAGTCCATGGATTGGAGTTCTCCAGGCCAGAATGCTGGAGTGGGTAGCCTTTCCCTTCTCCAGGGGATCTTCCCAACCCAGGGATTGAACCCAAGTCTCCCGCATTGCAGGCAGATTCTTTACCAGCTGAGCCACCAGGAAAGCCCAAGAACACAGGTGGGCAGCCTATCCCTTCTCCAGGGATCTTCCCAACCCAGGAGTCAAACTGAGGTCTCCTGCATTGCAGGCAGATTCTTTACCAACTGAGCTATCAGGGAAGTTCCCCCCCACAAAAAAGCAAAGAGATGGTTAATTTCATATTAAACTTAGGGAACCACCGGGAGTGAAGATACGTGAGAGATGTAAAGTTTGATCTCTAACTATAAATAGTTTACAATAACAAAGATTGTTGCATGCTTCTTTGAAATTTAATAAATCTATATATATATCAGTTCTTCCATATTTTCATTAAAATGCATATATATATCAATATTTTGCTGAATGTAAGACAAATAAATTACAGTTTAAAGAAAAGAAATTTTTAACAACCAGTGTGGGTTTTCTTATCAGGCTGGACCAGTATCATCTTCAAGATTTGGTCACTATTATGATATATCAAAAAGGATACCACAAGAACTCATTGAGACCTCAAAGTGGCATGGATTTTTTCTCCCAGAAAAAATATCATCAACTTTTAATGCAGAACCCTGGTAAGTAAATTATTTCAATTCTGATTTCAAAGGTTGGTAAAATACATTTTTATCACAGTCTTTGAAAGAATGCCTATTTAAAGGAACAAATCCTAATAAATGTTAGTTTTCTGGGTAATATGTAACCTTAATATTTTATGTTATTTCATTATATGTGATTTTTCTAATCCTGTAACTGTTGGACCTGCCATTACTCTTTAATTTGCAACTTGACAAATCTGGATACCAAATTTATAATAACTACTGCTTATTTTCAATAAAATGTGAAAAAATTCAGTAATAGGATCCTTCAGCCCTAAAGGCACAAGATACATAAATATTGCTTATTGATAATAATAGCAGTGAAAATGGTATACAATCATGCTGTTGCTCCATGTTTTTGATACATAATAAACCAATGCAATGTATTCATACTGCTACTAACTTTATTAAGGCAAAACTCTGAAAATTAAAGACTTGACATTGAATAATTTCTCAAGTGTTGGGACTGTAAGGAGATCAAATCAGTCAGTCCTAAAGGAAATTAATCCTGAATATTCATTTGAGGAACTGATGCTGAAGCTGAAACTTCAATACTTTGGCCCCCTGATGCGAAGAGTTGACTCATTAGAAAAGACCCTGATGCTGGGAAAGACTGAAGGCAAGAGGAGAAGGGGTGACAGAGGATGAGATGGTTGGATGGCATCACCAACTCAATGGACATGAGTTTGAGCAAGCTCCAGGAGATGGTGAAGGACAGGGAAGCCTGCATGCTGCAGTCCATGGGGTCGCAAAGAGTTAGACACGACTGAGCGACAGAACAATAAAGAAATGCTTTTAAATAAAGAAATAATTTTAATTCATATTGCAGTTGAATCAAGGGAAGGTTTTCACAGAATAGATTGTTGCCTCACAGAATAGGTTTTTGCCTCACAGAATAGGTTGTTTTCTTTTACACTGTAAAACCATTATTTTGAAAATGAAATGAGTTATTAAATGTTGATTTATGATTTAAAAATCTAGAGTCTCTTTCCCAGAAATACTGCCTGAGAGTTTAGTGAAAACTATTCCATTTATTTGATTTTATTGATTATACTAGTTTCTAATTTTTGTCATTTACTGAAGCAGACATACATATACACATACTTGGGGAACAGATTAAAATAGTGTCTCCATAATTTCTCAAAAAGTAAATCATAAAACCCAGATTCAAAGTCGGTTCTTTCTGATTTAAAAATCTCTCTTAGTGCTCGCTTCGACAGCACATATACTAAAAATCTCTCTTAGCAGTAATGCTATACTGTCTCCATTCATGGAGTGCTGAGGGAAATAAAAAATGTACATTATGATGTAAATACATGAAAAGAGATATAGTGTTACTTTTGTAATTAAAAAAAATTAAAGATGAAACCTTTTAAGCCAGAAAATACAAAGTGGTTTTCATTCACTTAGCAACTAAAGTGATGGGAAATTAACATTTGTCAATTAACCTGATCAATATCAGGTAGTGTTCCAGGCATTAGACCATGGGCTATCTCATTTATCCTCCAAACAACCCTACAAGAGAAGCAGTATTATCCCCACTTTGTAGGAAACTTGAGGTCAGAGACACTGAGCAGCTTTACCACTATTTTAGTCTGTGAGTGAGTAAAGCTGACACCGAACCCAAGTATCCAAAACCTTCTGCTCTCTTTTCTTTACCAGGCTGTCTCCATTTACTGCTGCAGTAAATGTATAACCCAACAAGAAGCTGGGCACCAGAAAAATTATACCTTGATTAGATATGGGAATGTAATTTTTTAAATATATTTTAAGAATGTTTTTGAGAACTAACAGTTTTACATGGAACAGGAAAATTTATAGATTTTAATTATCAAGGCAGTAGTTCATTTCATAGTAGTTAACTGATAATTCATTTATTTCATATTAAACTTAAATGCTTAATTAAATGTAATTAAACTTTAAACATGTAATTAAATTAATTTTGAAAATGGGTACTTTACCATGTGAGATTTATTTTATGAAAAGCGTGTGCTCATTTCACTAAAATGAACTTTACTGGTTCATTTATAAAACAATAAAGCTAAGCCTTACACTTGTCCATACTTTTCCTGTAATTAAGACGAGAGGATATGGCTGTGTCTATCATGTATGAGGATATAATATATAATTTTATAATTTCTAAAGGCACTGTTGAAACCTATAAAGTTTTTTTTTTTAAATAAGAAGAACTGAAGGTCATTTGAAATCTGTAGTGACTAAAATTACTGGTATATTTGCCAATGAAAAATGTTCATACCTACAGTTTAAACTTTCAAATTAAAGCCTGGTTGTAGAATCTTGAAATGTATCACAATAATATTGCCTAGATAATTTTGTTTTAATATTTTACTGTTATAAATCTGATCATCTCAAACATAAGACAATAGAAAAACTGATTTTGAGAATAATTCTAAAATAGTTTACAATTTTTTTTTCATTTGATGTCGTTTTGAGTTAAGCTTTGCTAATAGGTATGTCCAAGCACAGTTCTTTTTCCCTACTAGAAAGATATTGACATTCTTTATTATTTATTCATGAATCTACTGACATACTGCTTAACCTGTTATAGACTTTATTAGTATTCATCCCATCCACCCCCCCCCAAATTAATATGTTGAAACCCTAATCCCCAAAATTTGGGGATAGGGCATTTGGGAGTTAGTTAGATGAGACATAGGTTCGATCCCTGGGTTGGCAAGATCCCCTGGAAAAGGGAAAGGCTACCCATTCCAGTGTTCTGGCCTGGAGAATTCCATGGACCGTATAGTTCATGGGGTTGCTGAGTCAGACACGACTGAGCAACTTTCACTTTCACTCACTTAGATGAGGTCTTGAGGGTGGGGCCCTGGTGTGATAGGATGGTGACCTTAAAAAAGGAGAGACACTGAGTGCTCCACTCTCTCCTTGAGTAAACACCCAGGAAAAGCCACGTGAGCTCACAGCGAGAAGGCAACCATCTGCAACCCAACACTAACCCTGGCTCTCACCAGACACAAACCCTGCTGGCACCGTGATCCTGGACTTCTAGTCTCCAAGATTTTACTTTTATATCTCTATGCTAACAATAGCTAGTAGTAGCTAAAAGTTTTGTATTAACTAGAATGAACTGAATTCTAAGAGAACTAGTTACCTTTCTGGGAAAATTTCTAGGAGAAAAACAGTGGAAAGTGGATAGGAATATTATTTACAATTTTAGAAGTCATTTCATTTTTCTTATCCTGCAAAGTCTCTTTACCATAGTAAATGAAACTTCCATATAAACCTCTGTAGTATTTTCCTAGACAAATCGTAGCTGTGTTCCCCATATATTCCTACTAATATTCCTTTGTTCGTACTTTTGTCAAAACACTAATTTCATTACACTTAACTATTTCTCTTGTCTACATTCTTATGTTCCCGCCAAGCTTTGGAAATCCTTGAGGAAAAGTTGTAATTTTTTTCATCTACTTATTGTCTGAATCTAGGACACAAGTATTAAGTTGATAGTCAATGAATTAGTGAATCAAAGCATAAAATATAGTTATAACTCAAATTAACTATAGTCTTGTTCTTAGCACAGAGCTTTAGTGGGATGAAACCAATAACTGAAACATAGCCATGTAAGAGTATATTTTATTTCAAAAACACAGATTTTTTTCTTAGATTGAGAAGCAGAGAACCACAGTATATTTAGAAGTTATAAGTAGAAAATTTACTCAGGAAAAAGGGATTTTGGAAGACAGCTTCTAGGTGAGATTAAAGGTTCATAACAGAGTCATAAAGTTACAGAAGTAGACTATACTCTATTCAAAGGATATATAATAAATGATATAATGATACAAATCTCAGAGCTAAGGAAAAGCAGAGATATAAGTGTGAGGAGGAATTTTATCTACCTGTTTATCTGCTGGTGATATAATTAAAGTAAAAAGATGCTATCTGAAACTGTAGAGAGAGAACTATTATCCTGAACCTCATTTTGACCAATGAAGAGAAATGACTTGCTTATATGTTTACCTTTCTTTCTTCTTTCTGTTCTTCAGGGGGGCCTTTGGATACATGGAATTTAACTGATCATTCTAGCATTCTAGCATGCTATTTTCATTGGTTGTTTTGTTATCATCCCCCTTATTCCCACATTCCTAATCCCAGTCATCTTGCCCATAGATGTACTCTCTCTTATTTATTTATTTTATGTATTTTCTTTCATATTTCTAGTCTTCCTTCAATAAAGCAATTGTTGACCCTTGTCTCCTTTCTCTGTCTCACTCCCTATATTCAGTCTATCAGTAAATCCTGTCAACTGTATCTTCAGTATATCCAGATCCTGATCACTTCTTGCATCCCTTACCTCCACCATGCTAACCCTAAGTCACCCATATTTCTTGCCAGGACTCTTGGCATAGCCTCCTAATTAATCCTGCTCCCTGCTTTTTGGTGGCTCCTATTTTTGTCCAAAGAAGCCCTCATAAACTTTTTTACATAGCACTGTCCAATAGCACTTTCTTCAAGGATGGAAATTTTCTATGCCTGTACTGTCCAAAATAGCAGCCACAAGCCACATGCAACTAATAATGAGTATTTTCAATATGACACTGAAATTTTTGTTTTATTTTATTAATTTAAGTGTAAATAGCTGTGTGTGACTTCAGTTCAGTTCAGTTGCTCAGTTATGTCCAACTCTTTGCAACCTATGGACTGCAGCACGCCAGCCTTCCCTATCCATCACCAACTCTTGGAGTTTACTCAAACTCATGTTCATTGAGTCAGTGATGCCATCCAACCATCTCATCCTCTGTCATCCCCTTCTCCTCCCGCCTTCAATCTTTCCCAGCATCAGGATCTTTTCTAATGAGTCAGTTTGTCTCATCAGGTGGCCAAAGTATTGGAGTTTCAGCTTCAGCATCAGTCCTTCCAAAGAATATTCAGGACTGATTTCCTTTAGGATGGACTGGCTGGATCTCTTTGCTGTCCAAGGGACTCTCAAGAGTCTTCTCCAA